CTCTAACAGGGCGCTTACTAGCTCGCCCGAGATGTCTGTGTAAATGGATTATGCGTTGAACATGCCAACAGTTCTGTTCCCATCAATCCAATGTTTTCGATCCTCTGATAAAATTCGTGTAGGTTTTTCATTGTTCGAGAATCTGTCATTTCTTTTTTTGAGCTTCAAGCATATGAATTTCGCTAGATTTTATGCAGCCCAATGTTTTTTTTGAGATTTTCCTTGTATATTTTCGTTAATTTGCGAATTTACCGAGTTACTGGTCCTACTGCAAATTATCGTGGATACAATGGACTTCGGACAAAATGTGTTCCTCTAGGTCTCCCTTACAATACAATCATGTTGCGAAAACGTGATCAAACAACTTCTACCATTCATTAAGCTTATTTCATTCCTATTCTACCTCTCAGGAACGTCTTCTTTTGACCAATTTGGCAACCCTAGAAAAGGAGGCTGGAGCTCGTCAACAGGCTCAGGAGGCCTATAAACGGCGTTCTATTGAAAGTCAACAGGCTGCGGATGACCTTCGTGTGACTGTACAGAAGTACCTTGGCCAATTGAAGGAGGCACAAACGACAGTGCAAGAGAAGGTATCTGCTTTTGAGCGAGTCTCCTTCCGGCATCAACGTGTCCAGGTTGGTTGCGTAATTAAATTAGTTCTTATCTTTACTTATTCGTTTTTCTTTTTTCTCAATTCCTTTTTATTCCCACCAGTAATATTATTTCAATAAACTGTTAAGATCTATCGCTATCTGAATTAAAAACTAAACATGAAATCTATACATTTTAAATTATGAATGATTTACACAGCTTGGAAAGCAATCTAATGGACAAATATTTAAACACTATTACAATAAGGTTTTATAAGTGATACACTTTAAATTGTTTTGCTAACATAATATACTGTTTACTTATTGAAAATGGGACTTCGTATAATAGATTATTGTCCTATTAATCTCTAAATTATTTTTACCAGCATTTTTAGAAGACATATTTGTGATTTTTTCTTACGGATTAAGGAAGTTAATTTATCTTGCAATAATTTTGAATAAAAAGCCGCAAACGCTTAACTTTTCATTGCATTTTCTTAGTTTGGTGGATAATGCAACTCAAAGATTTAGGTTGTCCTTCTGACATTTCCTTTAAAATCAGTCAATAGTTGCTTTGAAAATTTACATGTGCATACAATTATTTAAATTATATTTAAGATATCTTGTTTACCCCAATCCTAATATTATGTGAATTTACTTCAAATATTAGTTGATTTTTTATCATCGTGTGTTTTCAGATTTTCCTCTTTCTCTTTAATGTCAAGAATGGTGTCATTAAAATTAAATGTCTTTTATTTGAACTTTGTGATAGATTGATAATCCTAGGCCCTTTATAAGACATCTGTTCTGCTAATATCTAAAGACTTATTTTCACGCTTTTCCTTAGCTATCAGTAAATTGACTTTCTAAAAACGTGTCCACTCTGATCTTGCCCATTCAAAGTGACTTGACTTTTTTATTCATATCTCTTACATACGAAAGCTACTAATTATGCACGTTTATATTATTTGATGCTTGAACTCATTTTGGTTTGTAATTTGGATGTCTCGGAAAGAGAGACAGCAAGCTCTGTTATAAGAGCATATGATGAATTAGTGCTTACATTTCCATCAAATTTTATTGTGAAAAAAACCTTAACATTCATCTTGTTTGTATTCTTTATTTTTATTTTTCATGATTTACTTTTTATTTTTGTCCTTATTTTTAGGAGGAATTGGTTAGTCTTCGTCGAAAATATGAGCGCCTAAGAAAGATTGAGCAGTCCCACAACGCAGATCAGGTGCTTCTGGCAGAGATTCAGGATTATAAGGATCAATTGACCTGCCCTACTTGTAAAACAAATAGAAAGGATGCCATCCTTACGAAGTGTTTTCATCTTTTTTGCCTGAACTGTCTGAAAACACGCTATGAGACAAGAAACCGCAAATGTCCAAAATGTAATGCCACCTTTGGAGCAAATGATTACCATCGTATCTATCTCTGCTAGATGATAATTTTATCCACTCCCCTGTCTTTTCTCTTCTTTTTATATGCAGACTAAATATTTTTAGCTATTCAACTGCAACCTAGATGGGTTTACATTCACACAATCAAGCGTATTCATACGACTAAACATCCCTCTTCTCTACTTA